ACGTCACACCACTACTAACTTGGTGGGCTCACACCGATGGAACATTCATTACTTGAAGGATCTTCGAAGTATGCAGACGTATGTTTGTGCATAGACAAGTACATGATGAAAACCCTGTACCGTGCATTCTCACACACACACCAATCAAATGTAATTACGTCACTATGTCACACACACACACACACACAAAATCTCATATGAAAAAAATTCTGAACGATCCATGCACCAGACCCTTCAAGGTCACATCGCCTTGATGTAACTAAACAACGACAAAAAAAGCAATTAATACGTCATAGTGGTGGGGGGAGGCCCAGAACCGGCTGTGATCTGCTACTCAAAAGATAACAATCATGGGTTAGTTTACTTAAGAAGCTATAAAGTAGCAACAATGTATTGTCGGGAGAATCATAATCGTGGGGGTGTACTGATTTTAGTAAAAGAAAACACTAATTGTAATGAACTAGAGTCTATAAAAAAGCTATCCGTGGAATGTCATCTAGAGATCTGTCCAATTTTTTATGGTAAAAATACAACTGAAGTCCCTATCATAACCGCATACAGACCACCAAGTGGGGACCCTGGAGTTTTCTTAAATTGTCTGTCGCAGGCATTAGCAATAGCAGTGTGCAGATCTAACTTTACTATATTGTGTGGTGATTTTAACATAAATTACCTAGCACCAGAAGACATTCACTAAACTACTCAGTGACCTTTTCAAGTCTTTCCAACTTAATATAAACTTTATAGGCCCCACTAGGATTTTTACAAATATAAATTGACACACAAGCCGAATATGCATTGACTACATGACATGTACCTATTCAGATTATTACTATGAATGCAAGTTAAAACAACCAAATGTAGCAGACCATCTGTCACATATTCTTACATTTCAGATAAGTAATAATCACTTTAAGGAAGAAAATAAAAAACAAATAGTTTCAAAGCATCAGTTAAATCCTGAAAATATAAATGTGCAGAACAAGGCTAAATAATAAAATCTGGTTTCCACAATTATATGATACTAGTACTATGTTGCTGTATCGCTGCTGTTCCAATGTTTTGACAGAATCAGAATCAACGAACTTAGGCGTGCGCAGCGTTATAGAACAGTGCTTTCAATAAATTGTTCTACAGCGCCATCTAGTGGCAAGTTACAGAAAAATTGATAGCCAAAAACCTCTATGAGAAATTACTTATACATGTCAAGTTTCATCACGATCGGTCGAGCGATGTAGAAGTTTATCACCAACCAACCAACCAACAAACATCCATTTTTATATATTAGATGAAGACTGATGTCTTTCCTGCAATGACGCCTGTCGGTTATAATCCAACGCCCTTCGTGGTATTAGCCAGGGGAGTAGTTGTTTTCTGATAGGCGTCAGTCCATTAAACCTACTGTATAGCGAGACTGGCTTGAACGTTTGAAGTTCATTTGCTTTAGATTTGTTTACTGCCAGTCTTCAAGTATAGCCCACTGACTGAGAAGAATGTGAATATTTGACCCTGCAGTATTTTGCAATGGGCTGATAGTATGATTGTTGTATTGGTTCGTCATCTTCAGGCCAGTGTTCAGTTAGGAGGACCAATTTTGGGTAGTGCATTTGTTCAAGTAGTATGAAAAGCTCGTCGGTTTTATTTCTAATTGATAAGATGTTCAACGTAAGAATGGCTAAGATAGAATGATTCCTGGAAATCTCTATTCTAAAAAATATTCTGATGTTGTTGTGAATTTGATTGTCTTGTGATGCAATTTTTTGCCATTTGATTTTCGGACATCAAAATGTTGTCTTGATAAAATATGTAGTTCACTGATTATTTTTAACAGATCGTGGGCCAAAAACCGATTTGCATTCATTTTCAACTCATAACCGTTTTTACATTAATTCGTCTAAGACTATTGTTGTAATCAAAGAATTTACAATTATCCCTTTTCATGAGATGCAGTTTTTCAAAAAAAAAGAGATTGCTCTCGTATATTATTTGATTTATGTTTTTGTTATATTTGTATGGTTCGGAAATGGCAATTATGTTTTGTGTGTTGGTAAAATTTTGTGGGGCAAAAATGGAAACTCCAAGATTTCTAAGTATTCTCTGTGTTTTTTCTTTTTGTTCGTTCAATTCCCACATGAAGTTCTGTTCTGCATTTTCTACTTCATCTTCGAAATCTTTTTAATTTCTCCGTAGCTTTTGAATAGATATATCTCTCTCCTTATTAATTGAATAATTAATTTCCTCCAATAGCTCTTCTACCTTATATTCATGTTCCCTTTCGGCTTTCTCTTTTCCTGTATCACTCGTCATTAATTTTTGAAGTTTGTTCGCTGCTCTGTGTAGTTCATCTTCCTCAATTTATTTTTTGCACACATTCTCTAGTACATATGGCCTTATGAAATTCTAGCAGTTGATTTTTTTTCCTTTCTATGCAGCTGTAGTAGAAAATATTGAAACTCTGAATGCAGTAAACACTGGAACAGACCTTACAATATTCGAAGGTGGAATCCATTTTTTTTTGTTTAGATATCCTTTTTTGTTGATGGACACTCTACGCTACTACTTCTCATTAATACGCTCAGTAGTGTGTGGGTTTTTTTCTAATATTTTTTTGAACTTGATATAAGAGGATTTTCATTTATTCAATTTTTTATCAGTGTTTTTTACTTTCAATTTGGTTTGGCTATGGAATTTAAATGAGTTTCACCTAATTTATTATTTATAGCACTATACTGGGGAGAGTTTTTAAATTTAGATGTGGTGTGGGCTGGTATTCTCAATAAGCTACCATGCCGCGTGTTATGATTGTGGGATGATGCATTGGTTGCAAAAGTGGACAGATTGATAACCCACATATAATCATTTTCACTTGTTACCACACAAAAATCTTTATATATGTGTACTTAACAAGGGACATTAGAAAATGTCAGGCATTTACCATCTCATTATTCTATCCTGAGATAAACTCAGGATGTATAAACCTCTGAAGAAGCTAGCCACTCGCGTCAGCGAAACGAAAGAAATTCCAAAAATCGACGGCCTCAAACCCGAGAAATAGTGACAAGGTATCCTTTATCTTTTGTGATGAATGCAGTCCATTATTATTATCCGATGAAAATGACGAGGAAGAATTCAATGTATTCATCTGATAAATATGAACCTGAGTGATGAAGTGTCGTCTTCATCGAGTAATGAAGTTCCTCAAAAAATACAAAAAAAAAAGAATGTTCAAACAGAGTAATGTTCCAATTGGAGCAACAACTTAAAGATACGGCAGAGAAAAAAATAATATGGTTGATATGATAAGTGAAGAATATTCCATATGGCCATTTTATTTCAATACTGAAAGAAAATTGCGTTTTGGATTGATGAAGTAACCGAAGATGTAGTTCCCCAATATACTTCTGAAATAGAAGAGGAAGACGAAGAACAAAATATCGTTATCCAAAATAATAACATGATTTGGAAATCTGTTGATGACAGTTCACTGAAAAAATTAATTTTTCTGAAGTGATGAACCATGAAATCAAAACAAAATTTTATGGTATGCATGAACAATAGCCTATTGATTTCTTTGTTATTCATCATCTATTATGTTATCGAGTACATGGTGAACCATGCAAAACTTTATGCTGAACAATATCATACCTACAAGTATTATGTTTTACAAAAAATCGAAATAATTGTTGAAAAATCTGATGTATATCATTGTTATACTCAACGTGTGTCCAGGTAAAAGATTTATATCAATTAGGGCATTTAAATCGAAGGAGTAGTTCAGCTACCGATTATTGAAGAAATTTTGAATAGTATAATGGATGATTCACGATTGAAGTGTAATACGTATATATTTCAACAATGCAATATTATTATATTGAATGCGAAAAATCTATTGTACTTATTTGAAAAAGTATATCATTTTATATCATTTATATCAAACCCACGTATTTTTTATAATTCCTAGAATTAGTTTCAGTGTTTCGAAAAGTAATATTGAAGTTTTTCTATGTATTTCCCATATACATTAACCAAAATTTTGTTATTGACAATAGTAATGACATGGTTTTGCAATTTGAAGATAAAAATTTTTATGCATTATCATTCATTCTGTTCATTACTGAACATTTTTTCAATAAATCGGTAATGAAAGACAAAACTGAAATCTTTGGCGCAAGATAAATCCAAAACAAGCACTTTTCCTAATCATCAGAAATGCAATACTCTTCTCGACGCGCGTTTCATCAACCAAGTTGGCACCTTCAGTTTTCTTCATCTAAAGAAGCCACCTTGATTAGTGAAACGTGCATCATAAATATTAGATTAGATTGGGGGAGCTGGCATACTGCCTGCTTCACTGCGACCTTTGCAGATCTATTGTAAGGTTTCTTAGTTATCAGAGCTCTCTATCTAGCTTGATCTATTTAATGAAACTTCAGAGCCTTGTAATTGGCTCCTTCTTATAGTTTATAGCCATTCCCTCATCTCCCATGCCTTGACCATGCTAACGATTTGCATTCACAAAGCACGTGTAGCGCTGTTTCTTCTTTCTGGTAGAACCTGCATAAAGTTTCTTCCGCCTAACCTTGCATTCACATAGCACGTGTAGCGCTGTTTCTTCTTTCTGGTAGAACCTGCATAGAGTTTCTTCCGCCTAACCTATGATGCTCATATGTTTTATGAGCCGACAATACCCCGTTAGTAGATCTACCACTACCCTGACTACCTTGTGGTTGTGGCTTAGCAGGTCTTCCGTGAATCTGGGCATGTGTCCTTTCATGAACTTTTTCGCCTGCCTCATTTCTGGAAGCTTAGTGATTTGGCTTGCATCTACGAATTGATAGATGTCTTTATACTTGTGATGGAATTTTCCGATACTTGATGAAAATCCATAACTATTTCAAGTAACACTTTGTGAGATTACCATTGGACAGTTTACAAAACCGCAACACCCCACAAAGTTTGACACTATATATCTGCTTAACTGGAAGATCTTCAAGACCATTTCCTAATGTTTATCTATCTGGCTGTTCATTAGGCATGGATGAATATATTCCTTTTTCAAAGAAGCGACCTTCTGATGACAAAAGTTGCAAACAAGCTGTCTGTTGCTTACCGACAGTAGCGCAAAATTCCCAGTGAAGAAAATCGTATCACGTTTATTAAAACTTGCAACAAGTGCATATTAAGAATGAAAGGAAGTAAATAACTTCATAACCAGAAAACTTGAAATAGACTTCTTGCATGTTTCTATCATCATGAATATTTTACAGAAAATGACTGGACTGAATTGTGCTTGGAAATAGACAAGGCTCGTAAATAGATAAATAAAATATTGTTTCTGACAATCCACAGTATGAAGCTGGTTTTGTAGATGTGTGTCCTAACAATTGCTTTTTTTCAGTGCTAACAAGTTAGTTTCTTGGTTGACCTTGATCTTCACCTGCAACCAGTTAGTTAAAACGCATTACCAACCATGGAGCTATGTTGCAAAGACAGGTTAGTAACTTTTCTGAATAATGTTTGTATAAATCCATGTAGGTAGAGTTAGCAGCTCTTTTTATTTGATGAAAAAGTGTGAAATGGAAAGTAGTGACTAATACAAATTCAGAACATCTTGTATCAAAAATTCTTCCTATTACAATAAATATTGTTCTTCATATTCTGCTAGTTTTTACCTGGTAGATTCCATAAAATAATATGAATGTTTGATTTTTCAGGATTCCAAGATAGTTTACGCAGTTTGGATACTTTAACGGGCTACAAGTTTCAGTTGCCCGTTGATCTTGCCATTAGACAATTTCAAAACATCAAAGATGTTTTTACATAATATATACCCCTCCAACATACTCTAGTCATTCCTTGTTTGAGTTTCTAGTTGTTTTATAGTGCATTTTGAATTTCTGTGATTTTAATTAATTTTTTATTTATTTTTATTTTATTTGGGGGGCATCGACTATATCGGTCATTAGTCCATTTCATTTACTGTTTTCAATGTTTTTTGAAGTGTTATTGAACGAGGAAGTGTATTGCGAATATTCTGAATGGAATCGTTGTCATATCATTAATTTAATCTTGGGTGTTATATTGAGTAAAAAATGTGTTTTTTCTAATATAAGTGGCATATCTGACTGAAGATCTGAAGAAGTATCTTGTCCCTCTGAATTTCAGTACTTGTTATTTGCGTTTGATAATTTTATGATAGTTGATTAAAGATGTTGTCTTAACAGTGGTTTCATTTTGTCCTAGCACTAAAGGCCCCGAATAAAACAGATTTTCAGCTTTTATGAACTTTAGCTCGAATCAGTGGAAACTAGGCAGGTTCTAGACAGCCTATCTGTAATGCACTGAGCATAAAGCATATACTTGCATAACGATTACATCCAAGAACCACCCTCATTTCTCTGTTCTGTAACTTTTGCAGAGACATAATTTTATTTTGGTCAAAACTGTATAACAGCGTACTTCAATAATCAATAATCTGCAATACTGCAATAATCTGGTAAATGACTGCCGAAAAACAACTTCTTTCTCAGGTAATACCATGAGAATTATATAAGATAGACATTTATGCAAGTTTCCACAATGGGGAAATTCTTCAAGATGTTTCTTGTTCATCGAACAGCAGGACCACGCTGAAATCAATCATTTAGATTATATATAGCCCGGTTTCGCAGCATTGCCTTCAGTTCTTCGGTGCAGGACTGACTTCAACGTGGTCCGGCTGCTATATGAAACCTTCGCCTGAAAGAGATTTGTTCCTCCCAAAATGTTCCTACACTATAGGCTCTGATAAATGCTAGCCAAAAAACAACTAATTCCATTGCTTATACCATTGATGTATATCCGTTAGACATATATGCAAGTTTCCCTCTGAAGAAACTCTTGCAGATGCTTTTTTGTCTGTTCATCAGCAGGGGACTTCACTGATATCAATCGAGTAGATAATCTTGAGACCGGTTTTGGGTTATTAGCCTTGTTAGTGCAGAAAAGATCCAACCCAAGCAGCAGTGTCTTGAGAATCGACTCATTGAAATTTTGAAATGTTCATTTCCTTAAAACGTTGCGTATCTCTGCTCGACAGTCGACTTTAATTATAGCCTGCATAACTTCACAAATCACATTGTTTGTGTTAATTCGATTTCGAGAAAGAAATGTTTTCAAAAAGTTGTAATTCTGTAAAATTGATGTTATTACACCGCTGTACTCGTAATTTTTTTTCACTGCTCAAAACGTAAACTAAATGGAGAAGTGGTGCAACGTAGAATAAATATCATATCAGGTAATTTATGGCAGAAATTATATATGGTTTTCACACATACAGTTTTTTTCTTCCAGCTATTATTGTGAAATCTTACCAAGCATTGGAACATGCAGCTGGTGAGTTTATCTTGATAGATAATTTTAGTCGGCATGGAATTGCACTTCAAGAAATAAATGAATAGAGTAATTGTGAAAAATAAAAAAAAAATGTAGAAATTATAGTTGTAGTGGTTTTCAAATATAATAGTTACTTGAATAATACTCAACTTTATTTCACTGCTACACTGATAAAAGACAACACAAACACTTTTACTAAAACTTCGGACTAATATTAAAATGTCTACGGCCTTATCAGAACACTTCTTACCTCGGTGTGCATGGTGATAGTGTTTATATATGGAAGTCTCTAGAAGCCGATAGGGAAGTTACTGGATGTCTCTCGAAGCGACACGACATGTAGAACGATCACGAAGCGCAAGTTAAGTTGAGCGCGACCTTGTCTAAGTCACAATCGATTGACGATGGCCAGCGGCGGCCGGCGTTATTTTTTTTCAGAGGATGATTTACAACAGTAGTATCTGTTGTTGTACATCTTCTAAACCAATGATCGATGTCATAGAAAGAAGTTAAAATCTCTATCCTTAAAGCATCCAGAAGCAGGACAGCATCTCAAAGAGATTCTACTCAACATTTCGTCACCATTTAGAATCCTTTCCGACGACTTTTTACATCATACTTATCCTACGATTTAAAGTGATTGATTCATACTGTAAAGCATTCAAACTGAAAAGACCACATCAGATTTCTTTACTTTCATCAGCAGATTAGATTTTTTGTTTTTTTCCAAACAGAAGCAGTAGATCAGAACAGAGGCTACTGAATATCAGTCTCACGATTCTGGCACGTAGACCAAATAGGGGAAGAGGTGAAAAACAATGCATGGATGATCTGTTGATTGTTCCAAGATGCTAAAAATTATTCTGAAAAGCAGACTTGGAAAGTCCCAAGGCTCATCTAGTAGATGTAACAATCACCCCCAGAGACCAAATTCCCGACTCTAAAGTCCATTTTGCATAAATGTGTTTTATTGATTACGACTTGAAGAGTTACTGAATCCATGGTTGTTGTGTGTCATATCTATACTATGTTTATTGCGAATTTTTTGATACAGTGATATATCTTGATTTCGTCTATGTTTATACATAATATGTACCATGATTTGTGTGTAATTTTTGTGTAGAATCTTTGTTGACCATGCATAGAGAGGGTAAATTCGAACGTTCCGAGGGTATGAAGTACGGCTGGTTTGGGCCATTGCATAAAATCAGGTTGACGAGGTGGCTCATTCCCTACCTATGGTAAGTGTCCAAAACACCAAACTATAGTAAGGGCGCTCACATTCCCTTCACTTGCAAACACCATTGACCAGGATTCCTGACCGTGATGTAGAATATGCTAGTCTTTTGGATCTATACCCAACAACCTATCCACAAATTTACACAGTAACCGTAAGGTCTCCATTGGGATCTTCTGATCACAAACTCACTTCAGTGTTGAGTGAATTACCGATAAATGTTGGGGAACAATCTAAGCCGCGTAAAGTTTGGCATTACAAATCAGGTGAATGGAAGGATCTTCAAAGCCATTTTAGTAATTTCTGCTGGCTAGATGTTTGTTTCAAACGTATTCTAAAAACACTTTATTGTGAGATTTCACTAAACAATGCAACACGTGTTTCTCGCCATGGAATGACTTCTTGGGGCATGTCTTTACTAACAAATTCTATACATTCAATGCTATAATATACCTTATTCTACAATTTGAAGTACCTACATTTCAAGTACCTGGTTTTTACCTAAGTTTGTAATGAATTAAATTACCTGGGCTTATGTCCCATTTTCCACATTTGAAAGAATATTTAGTAACGAAGAGTTATAATTGATCATTCAGTAAATTACCCGAATTCTTGAATCTATTGATTTCTAAACATTCTAGAAGATTGAGCTTCAGACTCTTCTCTTCTAAATGTAACACATCGTATTCATGATTGAACTCATGCCCTTCTGCTAAAAGTTAGTTTGCAAATGTGGAATTGGTCTTTCTATTCACAAAACTACTTCTATGATCTTCAATTCTTTGGGAAAATGTTCTCCCTGTTTGGCTAATATGAAGTTTTGGACAAGAGCCAAAAGTCAGCTTATATACTCCTGATCTATCCGACACCGAAGTTTTGTCTTCATTGTTTTTAATAAATTTACTTGGATTATTATTCGTTCTGTAAGCTACGTTTACGCATTCTTTCTTTCAATATTATTGGTTGGTTCTCCCAAATATGACAATGTCTTATAACTGACGTTATCGCATCTTGAATTTGGGTAGACCAGGTCCATAGCTTGCTTTTGTAGTTTTTTGGAAAGACTTGAGTCTATAATATCTACCTTGTAACCGTTGTTGACCGCGATTTGTTTGATCAAACTCAGCTCCTCTGGAAATTACTCTCAGACAGTGGAATATTCAATAGTCTGTGAAGCATACTATTGAATGCAGCAACTTTATGCTGGTAAGGATGTGTGGAGGAATTATGTATAATGCCCGTGTATGATGGTTTGTGGAAAATTGCAAATTCATGTTTATTGTTATTTTTAGTAATGGTTAAGTCAAGGTAATTTATTGAATTATTTACCTTCCTCTCAGTGATGAATTTTATTGACGGGTGGATGGAATTGGCATATTCAATGAACTTGCCTAATTGCCTATCTCTATCAGTAAAACAGACTAAGATATCATTTACGTATCTGTACCAGTACAAACAACTGTTAGCTGACTGATTATTATGGATTTCATACTCTATGTTATCCATGAAAATTTCCGACAGCAAGGGAGTCAAAGGGTTCCCCATTATTAGTCCTTCACAGCATGAATAGAATTTATCGTCAAACTGGAAATAATTTTGAGATAGACAAATGGTAAGTCAATCTAAAATTTCCTATTTTATCAGTAGATTCACGTAGTTTTTGTCTAAGAGACACTCAACTAGTCCAATTGTTTCAATTGGCGGAATACTGGGAAATAAATTTTGAACATCGAACGATATTAATTTGGCGTTATCAGGAAAAATTGCGTTTTTAATAGTATCCACTAATCGATAAGAATTATTTATACTAAATTTCGGCTTCAAATTGGTATAGGTTTGAATCAATTTTATCAGGATTTCTGAGATTTTTACGGTAGGTTCCGTTACAAACGACACCACTGGTCTAATCGGGAAATTGGTTTTGTGTAATTCAATAAGAGATAATACAGTTTTCGTGCTTGTGGATTCATAATCAAAACTCGACATTTACCCTTTTCATTCATAACCAATTCAATCTAACTAGGTTGGTTATTACTCGCAACAGCTGCAAACTTAAAATGAATGAAAGCAAAAAAATCACAATCAGAGAGTTAGAGATAAACTGCTTGTCTATTCCAACGGTTCTAGATTCTTCTGGTCGGTAGCTAAAGCTGTTAATGAAAACTTTACAAAATCCACAATTCCACAAATCAGCGACAACTGATTAACGGAAACACAGATTACTAACACAGGCGGATCATTCAATTGCAACAACAGGCATAGAAAAAGCAAATCTACTAGTTGAACAATTTGCGTTCCACTCCTCAGTCGATTTTTTGGAAAAGGCACAACCCACTATTCCCACATTAGAAATCACAATGCCGTAAATAATTTTCAGCAACGTCTAGTTAGGCGAATTTTGAAACAGGCTAATATCAACAAGGCGTCTGGTCCTGATGAAGTGCCCGTCATCGTACTCAAAAAGTGCACCAATGAACTCGCACCAGTATTTTGCAGATTTTTCAACCTGTCTTACAAGGAAGAGGATTTTCCTTCTTGTTGAAAAATTGTTCGCGTTCAGCCTATTTTCAAAAAGGGCAAGAATGTAGATGCACATCTTCTCGGCAGCAA